AGTGACTCTGCACCATCTCAGGGTCTACGCATGGCAGTCTGGCGCCTTGCTGTTGCCTCTCTACAACCCCAGTGAGAGACTTGTCGTGCCCCTCGCTTAGGAACACTGAGGCAAAGAACTCGTTGAGTTGTCTGGCAGGGACCTCAATTAACTCCGCACTGCAGTTAATGCACTGTTTTCCCTTCATTCAGCTGTGAAGGACAGTGGAATGAATCGCAGCCAAAGAGATCAGTGCAGCTTTCCTTCCTCAGTCCAATGATAATTCAGCCAGGTGCTGCAGCTATCGCTGTTTTCATTCAGACAGTTAGCAACTCCAGCCAAGAAATCATGTGGCCTCTAAGAACGCTTGTACTTGTTCTGTGCTTTCTGAGGTGAAGGTGGGGATCATAAGTCTCCTCATGTGCTGGTTAGGCAGGGAATTCCCTCTTTATCAAACTGTTCTGTAGCTTCAACCTAACTTTCTCCCAGACAAAAGAAAGCATAGTGAGGCAGTTTGATGCCTCTCCTCCCCCTAGACAAAGCATAAGGTTATGGGGCAGGAGGCCTATAATTGTGTGTATAGGTACAAATGTGAAGATTCTTCATCGCAATCTGAATGCACACGTGGAGGTAATCTGCCTGGCTCTTACCTCTGGGCATGCATGGCTGAGTCTGTTGGTTGCTGTTCTCTGCTGGGCAGAGTCCATGCACCAGAAGCCTCAGGCCATGCAGCGGGCACAGATTCCCCCTACTGCAGCTAGATGCTATGCTGAGATGAGCAACAGTGGTAATACTGCAAATCACAGCATGAAGTCTGTAACTAGCAGTGTTTCTAGATTATTGTGTCTGGTCTCTCCAGGCATTTAAAGTTAGACCTGTTCTACAATACAGAAACTGCAGGGATACCATGACATTTTCTCTCTTCAGTCAGTTAAAATTTGGCTAGAACTTCAGGCTTAATTTCCTGACTCTTGCAAAGGGGCCACTGGATATTTACAGACTAGACAGCTAGTGAGGATTGTTGTTGCAGCACCATTTAGCTCTGATGTATTTCCAGTGCCCCTTAACACTGTGCTGACCCAGTGGGGTAGTGCTGTTTTAGAGAGAAAAATGCTCCCATTCCCTGCTTCTCTTCTGCCTTAGCCTTATCTAGCAGCTGATCCAGCTGGCTGCAGTTTCTGATTTCTTTTGAGTCAAGTTGCAAGCATCACCAAGCACTATAGCTAAAGCAGTTTCCAAAGCCATCTAAGTTATGTAGGAGGCACTCAGCTCAGTAGCTTTCCAACAAGCCTCCTCATCTGTACCTCAGATTCACTTGCCAACATGTTGCTTAGGAATGACTTACGCTCAAGCAGTTATTTGGAGGATGAGTGCATTGAAGTGGCTGGGTGGTAAGCCCTGAGTGTGTGCTATGGACCCCTTAGATTTGGGGAAGGGGAAGTTTTTGGTATGTAAGGGGTGGTGAGAGAGGGGAGGGGTCCATACCTAGGTTCTCCACATTGTGGGTTCTGTGGCTGGGAAGTACAGGCTTTTCTCTAGTCTTCCATGTTGTTTTGAAACCACAGCTCTCCCTGCCCACAACTGGGTGCTGAAGAATGGCTCTGTCCGCTGCTGGAGCAACATCCCATTCATCACTGTGCCACTCAGCCGGACACATGGCAAGTCGTTTGCTCACCGCAGTGAACTGAAGCACGCTAAGCGGATCGTGGTGAAGCTGGGCAGTGCTGTGGTCACCCGTGGAGATGAGTGTGGATTGGCTCTTGGGCGGCTGGCATCCATTGTTGAGCAGGTAACTTAGTGACTAAGAATGACTTGTGCTTCTCAAGCTGGTTAGTCGGCTTCCCCTTCCAGCTGTAAATTACACCCCAAAACTTCCACACAAACTTCTGCTGCTCTTGTAACAGGGCACAACTGAAAACTGTGCTAGAGAGGAAGGTGCAGCAGGGACAGCCTGTGCCTTAATATGTGTAAGGGAAGCCTAGGGGATAAAGCAGAAACCCCAAGGGAGTTTCTGCCCAGTGCAGAGGAGGGAGGAACCATCAGGAAGTGGGGAAAGGTTTTGGACTTTGCCAAAATGGGAAGAGATGATCTTCTGTGCCCCTTTGGATATTGAAAATTACCATGGATTAGAGTCCCAGTGAATGTTGGTCAGGGCATCACTACCTATGACACGTGGATAACTTTGCGCCCGTTCTCTGGGCAAGCAGGTGGCTTTGGGCTTCAGAAATCATTGAGCTTGTGGTACACTCAAACTGTGTAAGGTGGAAGTGGGGGAGGGACATCTTGGCAAGCCGGCAGCTGCCCTGCTCTGGGCCTGATTCCCTCTGTTTCTCCCTGCCTGCAGGTGTCGATGCTTCAGAACCAGGGCCGAGAGATGATGATTGTCACCAGTGGAGCTGTGGCTTTTGGCAAGCAGCGACTGCGCCATGAGATCCTGCTCTCCCAGAGCGTGCGACAGGCCTTGCACTCTGGGCAGAACCAGCTGAAGGACATGGTACATGGTGAAGGCAGGCACCTGCCCTCTGGAGGGATGTGAGGCAGAGGTTGCTCGTGTCCCCACCTGTGTGCCAACTGATGGGCCTTCTCTGGTCTTTGCAGGCTATCCCGGTCCTGGAGGCACGAGCTTGTGCAGCTGCTGGGCAGAGTGGATTGATGGCTTTGTATGAGGCCATGTTCACTCAGTACAGCATCTGTGCAGCTCAGGTGAGTAGGTGCACTTATCCCATGATGCATCTTGACAATCCTTCCAGGCTGTTTTATTGCTCTGACTTCTTAGAGTATCTTTGTTGCACTTACTGCCATCCCAGACCTCTGCTTCAGTCCCACTTGTGCAGGGTTGTAATGTAGTGGGAGTGACAGCTGGCACAAGAGCTTGTTCAGCTAAAGGTAACTTAGATCAACTTCTCTACTATAAGTAGGGTGAAATAGCATTGTGTCTAGATTTTTTTTCTAACTGGTGAGATGAGTTTAGGGCAAGGACCTAAGGATCACAAACAGAACTGGGACTGCCATGCTAAATGTGGAGAGTACCCAGGTGGAGAGTCCCTCTAAAATGGACTGAACATTTAGACAGTCTAATATGGACTGTCTGTTCGCTGAAACCTCTCCACTGCATATACAGGCAACCCCTGCTTAGCACTCTTCACTGGTTCCTGAAAAACTGAGCGTTAAGCAAAACTAATGTGAAGCAAAACCGAAAGTTTTAACAACCCAAAACAGCGACCGCAAGTGTTTTTAATGACCCAAGATGGCGACCATAAGTGTTATAACAAAACTTGCTGAGCGCTAAGTGGAATCAGGTATCAATTTAAAATGAGCGTTATAGTGACATAGTGCTATGCGAAACAGCGTTAAGCGGGGGTTTCCTGTACCTGGCCATGGACATCTCTAACAGATAAGTGGTACACTACTGCTTGGACTACTATAGGAATGTGGGCTTTGTCTGTTTATCTTGGATAGTCTGCAAGGGTTACGCTCAAGTACAGCACAAGCCTGTGTAAACACCTCTAGGTTCTTGTATCAACCACATCCCTGTGGTAGTTGAGATCTTTAAAGCACCATGTCACTCAGGTGACCTCTGCATGTTCTGTGAAGTAGGATGTGCTAAATTCACTCATGAAATAAGTATCCTGCACTGCAGAGTAAATGCAGCCATGCAGAAATAGGCTGGATTCTGTCCTGGCTGGTGTGCACATGGGTCTTCTGTCCTCATATGCAGAAAGATTAAATTTCTTCTATTTAAAAACACTTGGCTAGTTGTGCAAGCAGAACTCCTAGATGTTCTTCTGGTCAGAGACTTCTGTAGCATTGCATGGTGCCTCCCAGTCCTCATCAGCTAGTTTTCAATGCCTGGTGAGAAAAGCAGGGTGTAAGGCAAAAATCTGCCAGAAAGGCCATGCACAAAGCTCCTGCTGAAAGTCTTTCCTCCTTTCAGATCTTAGTCACCAACCTGGATTTCCATGATGAGCAGAAACGCCGGAACCTGAATGGGACGTTGCACGAGCTGCTGCGAATGAACATTGTCCCCATCATTAACACCAATGACGCTGTTGTTCCACCTCCAGAGCCAAACAGTGATCTGCAGGGGGTAAATGTGGGTAAAGTATTGCAGGGGGCAGATCCGGTCTGTGGCCCTGCTTGGAGCATGAAGGCTTGGCTCACTAACCTCTGCAGGGAAAGCTACAATGTAAGAACTAAAGAAAAGCATGGCAATGCTGGGGCTGAACAGAGACACGTAGAGCACAACAGAACAATGGGGGCAGCAGAGCAGGGGACATGGTCTGCCATGGCTGGCTTCTGGCAGGGCTCAGTGAGGGAGAAAGGATGGGACAGAGATATGGGCATGACGTGGTTTGGCTGTTACTTGCTGCATGCCAGTAGTGTGTTCAGTTACCTACCAACAAGGATGGCATCCAGAAAACTTGGTGCTGCATGGAGAAAGCTTCTCAGAGGTGCATGGTAGCACTGACGTGGCTTGTCTTTGTCGGGCATGGCTATGGCTCTGCTTGCTAGCTTCACCCAGGTAGCATTGCTGACCTCTCAATGCATTCCAGGTCATTAGCGTGAAGGATAATGATAGTTTGGCAGCACGACTGGCTGTAGAAATGAAGACCGATCTCCTAATTGTTCTCTCGGACGTGGAAGGTATGTAGTCCTTCAACTTTGACTACACAAGTAGTTTTTTCCCTTAAAATCCCTACAGAGGTCATAACATCTCATAACCTGTAAGATGCATGCTGATGTTCATCTCCTTCACTTTTGCCTGTATATTGTATCCTTATTCCCACTTGTTGTCTGTATATGCTCTCTGTGAGAGTAAACTCTTCAAGGCTAGGACTAGGTGGAGCTCTCCAATGAGTGGAGCCTAGCACTGGATAAAGTACAATGTTTTGCAAAGTGCTGTGTCATCCCCTTTGGATCTCAGGGACAGTGCAATTGAAATTCAGAAACGATGTAGTAAGACAAGAAAGGGCTGTTTGCCCTCTAGAGGTTTGGGATTTCTCTGTAATATTGGTTAAATTATTTTAGATGGGTCCGAAATTACTTCTGTATGTCTGACTGCCAATTTGAGGTTAAAAAATACAGCCTGGGCCACTAGTGTAAAAGTGGGCTGAGGGTCTAACCAGATCCTGCCGTAGCTCCATTACCATATGAGCTGTCCTTCTGCATTGGAGAGAGTCCAGCGGAGGGCAACAAGATGGTTGGGGGGCTGGGGCACATGACATGTGAGGAGAAGCTGAGGAAACTGAGCTTATTTAGTCTGCAGAAGAGAAGATTATGGTGGGGTTTAATAGCAGCCTTGAACTACCTGCAATGTGGTTCCAAAGAGAATGGATCTGGACTGGTCTCAGTAGGGGCAGATGACCGAACAAGGAGCAATGGTCTCCAGTTGCAGCAAGGGAAGTTTAGGTTACATATTAGGAAGAACTTTCTCTTTAGGAGTGTAGTACAGCACTGGAACAGGCTACCCAAAGAGACTGTGGTTACTGTCCTTGGAGGTTTTTAAGACCTGGCTAGACAAAGCCTTGGCTAGGATAAGATGCTTGGGGATGGTCCTGCTTTGAGCAGGCAGTTGGACTAGATGACCTCCTGAGGTCCTTTCCAGCCCTCGTGTTCTACGATTCTGTGATTCTATAATTGCTCATATTTTAACTCCATCCTGGGGCTCCTGAAGCTTGGCGCAGTGCAAGGTTTTACCACAGTGACAATGGTGTGTATATGTGCCAAGCATAGCATTGCACAGCCCGGGGCCCAAACTCTGAAGTGCTGAGACACATTGACCAATAGCTACTGTCCTATCACCTGGTCAGGAGAGCACAGGAGAGGGAGGGCATGATACATTTGCAGAGACCCTCTTCCATAACCATGGTGTGATTAGTCACTTTTATCTACCCAGTTTCATTAAAAGTGTGGATTTGACATGGGTGCCTGTTGGCTGATGATGTGTGCATGCTTCGGATCCCTGGTGAAACTCGGAGGCTAATCTACTTTAATTTGGGAAGTGGCTGGACAAGTCTGCTCTTCCAGAAAGCATTACCCTTCCTGGGGCTTGCAGACATTGCCAGTTTTAGAGATCCTTGACCCCTTCCCAGATGCTCAGAACTTGTGCCTTTCTATTTTCCAGTTCCTTGATCAGAATTGTGCGGGCCGGGAGCGACCCGAGCCCTTTTCCGCGCTGCATGCGGGCTGTGGCCAGCAGCCCGGGCACGCCGGGTCAGAGAGGGAAGGCCGTCGAGCTGGAATTAGGCAGAGACGCGTAGCGGTAGTTTAAAAGATTGTTTACTTACACCGAGATGGAAGTGGTGCAGGCTGGAAAACTTGCTTAAGTTGCAGTTACAGACAGAAAAGAAAAGAAAACTCGAACCTGCAGGGCATGAGGGTACGTCGCAAAGGGTTCCGGCGACGGGAAGATGAAAAATACGAGGGTACGTCGCAAAGGGTTTCGGCGACGGGAAAGTAAACCTGCAGGACTCGAACCCGGGTAGAAGAGCTCTGAGATCGGTCGTAAGGGCTCACACGAAGTTTGCTAGGCTCCGTGGGTCCGGTTCTCTTGCGCGCGGGAAGGGATACGTCTAGGAATCTATCGGCGACGGGGAGAGGCTAGAGGTTGATCAGACCTCTGTTGCCTGCTTGAAATGCGCTGGGTCCGTAAGGATCCGCAGCGCTTA